ACAGAAGCTTGATTTTAGTCCAAATATAACAAACATCAATGGAAAGAAATTATCATGAATAAAGATTTTTTCCATTCTCACATATAGTAATCTACGGTGAATCTAGTCTACAGGCTTGTCTGTATATACGATTTCCAAATTACCTTAACGATATCATGGTATATTGTACTAGACATCATACACTTGGTGAGAGAGAATTATCACATATCACATTACACATATTCAAAAGGGTAATGATAAGACTAGATTTTTAAATTTCTTATTTCAAACTGCCCAAGTGATATACCCAATTTTCAAAGTATGGTGTATAAGATTAGTATGAATTATTATATTTTTCATGCAGCTATTTATGAAGGTTGATTAGAAATTATGCTTTTTATTTAAAAATTCTAGTCCTTGGATAAGCCTCTCCTCCCCCAAATTGGTTTCCCTTTCCTCTTCAGGAAGGAATTCATTATATGGGGATGTTACTTTCAGATCAAGACAAGTATAACTGAAAGCTCAAATGAAGTCGGTTTTGTCTGACAAAATTTACCTGATTAAAGTACCAATAAGATAATTTTAATTTGCAGATTCTTATTTTCACAATTTTTCATACATACAAACAATTGACATTCCGCAGTTATGATTACTCTGATATAGAGATCTTTTCATTTATAGAGTGAATCATTAACATTCTTTAACAAAGTGAAAAGGTTAATAACAAACAAATAATTTATTGCTATATAATTAGAGGAAGTATAAGAAATTGTTAAATAAAGGTCAATCATATTTTTCCCATAGATCATAAATGTTATATATTTTTTGTGACAGACAATAACAATATGAGCTGTCATTTTTCTTCTAAAGTCATTCTGATATAAACAATATCAAAATGCCCATGGAATTCTCTCTGTCTTGTGTTATATTTATCATCTTTCAGAATGGAAGAGGGTCTAGATATTGAATATGAAATGATGGTAGTCATAAATGAAAACAAATGAAAATAGTTTGAAATAAGAAAACCAATGACAGATATTAGTCTGTCAAAGAAGGATGACAGATCATGAAGGAGGAAATGAGAATGAACTTCCAGGAAAGATGACACAGGACTACATAATCCTTAATACAAATTAGTGCGCCAGAGTGCCAAAGCAATAATCTAAACTAGAGTACAATCTTCTGGATAGGAATATATATATATATTGTGGAAAAGTTCTGGTAATACACCTAAGTAAAATTATTCTTTTCACTTTTAGGCATTTCAAACCAGATGCTATGAAAGAAACAGATGCCTTGCTTGCATTGCTTAGTCTCCTGAAGTTTGTGTGAAGACTGACTGCTAGGTTCTTTACAGGTCACTAAGCAAGTCCTGCAACAAAACAAAGATACAATTAGATAGCACAAACAGGAATTGTTCGTAAAATCAATCTTTATACTGCTATCTGTGTTTGTAACATTTTAGGAACTGCTAGCCTCTTACCTCCACATTCCTTGGAAAGGCAAACGATTGCTTCAGTTTTTCATACTGGGTCTTCAACTTTTCAGGGGAGGTTTTATTAATCATAGCCTGTGTGTAAATAAGAATCTCATGGGGGTAAATCACATATGAATATGATATATGAACAATAAAGCCATATATTCACTGAACAAAAACATGTCTATTCTTTAACTATTCTTCAACTTCAAATGACAATCAACAATTAAGAAAAATAATCAAGTTAACCTCAAAAGCCTAGGCATCTCTATCAAATATATTTATAAACTGCATCCACCAGCCAAGGCACCTTGGTTGAATATCTGGCAGGCTGTTTTCTCACTACCTTTATAGGGTGAATGGAAAATGTTGAACATATACCATTTAATCTAGCACTGCCTGGCATCTTTCTCCCAGTCCCAAAGCCATAACAGGTCCCCCACCCAATAACTATAAGCTCTGCTACCACTTTTCCTGTGTGTCTAGGTGGCTTTCCCCCTCATTCAATCTTCCCTCTATAATCTATTCCCTTTCCAAACTATCAGACATTACCACATCCCTGTTATCTCCCCGTTCCCCTCATAAAGTTGCTTCCTGGTGTGACTGAGCTACTTCTAACATTATTTCGTTATTTTCATTCTTTTTGTTCGTAAATTCATCTTAATATCTTATAAATCATGGACATATTTCATTGTATTCTCTTTCTATATGCTTTATGTGACTTAATCCAATTTTTCTCTCAACTGAGTTTTCCAAACAACAAACATCAAATTTACCCTTGGCAAAATTCAATATTTGGAGTTAATTATAGGAAGATGGAGAGCTAAAGAACTGGAGGAAATCTTTTGCAGTTATGATATACAACTGTCTTAAATAATGGCAGAATAACTAAAAAATATACATATGTAAAAATAACAACAAACCTGTAAGTCATGGCATTCAACTTGATCAGCAGCAGCAATAGCCAATCCCAGAGCTGGAAGATCCAGTGAAACACAGTGCTTTAGGAGAGGGGCTGTGGATACCACAACAGGACAGTGTCTC